GATCTGTTTTCATTTTTAAATCTGTTTTTGTTTAAATTATTTTCATTTTAAATACTTTTGTTTTTTGCCTTTAATTCGTTTTCAATTTCTGGGTTCAATTTGTGTTCATTTTAATTGTTTTTAATCTGCATTTATTCGTTTTGAGTTGCACACATTTTAATTGCTTTCATTCTTTATTTAATTTTGGGTTTAATTAGATTTTTGAATTTTTTGGGTTTAATTCAATTCTTTATTACCAATTTATGTTTCTGTTTAATTTCATGAAATTACAAAACCCCACAAATTAACCACCGTTGCATGTTTAAAAATAAAAAACAAAATGAATTTGTGTCCTTGTGAGATGACTTAGGTTTGCTCTCTATATTGCAAAATTATTTGAGTAATTTAGTTTTGTTTGAAACCAATACGATGTGGTTATCAGTCTCGTGTTTTGGATAAGAAATGAATTTATTATAAATTTTGTAATATGCTAGATGATAAGTGAACTAATCTGAGAACAATAGGGATAAAATAAGATTTAATTGATTATGTTTGAATTTTGATTGTAATTTTGGATTATAGTAGACACTTAAAGGGAGAGAACCTTGGTGATTTCATGACTTTTGGACTTGTATTCATTTAGTTATGAATTTTACAAGTTGGTGCATGAAATCTGAAAAATTTTGATTTTAACCATGTCCATGTGTTTGCTTGTTCTCTTGATATAGATATGTGATAATGTACCTGGTTGGACAATTGATGGCTTTGATTTTGTTATGATTGTGATTTGTGATTTGTGAATGTGAAAGAGGTTAAATACGCCACAATACATGTAAGAAGCAAATAATGTTGGTCTAAGCATAGGGGGAGAAAATATACCTATGACACTAGCCAGATTACAAACACAGAGCTCCTAATTTCAACCTAAAAATTGATAATGTTGAATAATCAATTAATTACTCCATGGAGAATTCACAAATAGAGATTTTGATTGATTGGTTTGCTTACTTGATTGTGATTTACTTCATATAAGCATGAGTATTGCCTTATTTGATTATTATGAATGCTTGTACTCACTTGTATCTTTTTATAAGGTGTGTCTAATATATTTATGGATGAAGAATGGGTGAAAGTGCATCAAACACTATGCCCGTACCTTGACTTTTAGTATGGAAGCTGGAGGGTGGAGTTCCAAAACTCTAACCAAACCATCATATTTCAAAATTTTATCATTTTAACCATGACTTTTGTTAATAACCCTTATGTTAATCCTACTAGTATATAAGGAGAAGATAGAGTGGATGTGCCCTTTTCTCTCTACCATGCAGTTGCATATTTAGGCATTAATCTACAACCTCCTCCAAATGGGCAGATGATTGAGGATGTAACATCCTCATTTTTTATATTTATTATTATAGCATTAAATGTTGGTTATATTTGTGAAATTATTTGAATTTTAGAGAGTTTAAATGATGTAGGTTGCAGGATATCTCGCTGTGGCGAGAAAGAGCGTCCAGAAATCAGGCGTTCTGATGCTCTCTCGCTGTAGCTAGAATTCTCTTGTTATAATAAGGATGCTCTCACTGTAGCGAAGAGCTCTCGCTGTAGCTAGAATGACAGATAGCAAAGTGCAATTTTGTCTGATTTTTTTGCTACAGCAAGAGAAGGGCTCGCTGTAACGAGAATATCGTGAGTCTAGAGGTATTTAAGGGTTTTCAAGTTAGAAAACTTGGATTACAATCCATGTTTCGAGCTCTCCTTTGTTCTCTCGACCCCTAACTCTCTCTTCTCAGAAAATTTCTCCAAAACCTCAACTTTCTTTCAAATCCAAGCTTGGGAACTTCATTAATCAACTCCAAGTAAGTTCTTGGTGCTTTATTTTCTCTTTTTGGGTGTTTTCTAAGTTTCTCCTTTCTCAAAATGTTCTCTTTTGTGATATCTAGGAAGATCTTGGTCCTTTCACCTAAAACCCTTTACAAAATCTCTTTCAAAACTTCGTCTCAAGGTAAGGAGGGCTCTATTTTGTTATTTTAAGCATAATATAATTATTTTGTAACCATGAGAGTATTTTATGTATCTGTTTTAGTAGGATTCTTATGATTGATTGACGTTGAATTATTATGAAAAATATGTTTGGCTAATTTTGGGTGTTAATAATATGTTCGAGTAGTCCGTTTGTTTGGAATTTAGTTCGGAAGTGCTTTACTAAGCACGATCTCTTACTTGAATAATGAGTTTAGTACAAAAGGAAGTATGAGATAAGTGTAAAAAGCTGAATGGTTCTAGTGCGAATAGTTACAAAGATACACTGGGGGTATAGAGTCCGAAGATGATAGGAAATCTGGGAGAAATGTAGGGTGGTGAGCAACATCGCGCATGTGTACACATTCTTTTTTAGAGCGAATGCACCACATGGCCTCACACTCATTTCCTGACTAGACTCCTGACTATACCTTTGCTAAGGGGCCTGTTATTGTATACGTTGTATCCATATGCATGGGCTAGCCGGCGACTATTTACCTAGTTGTGTAAGACTTCAAGAACTGCTGGGGGCATTGTATAATTGTAATCACAATGCACTAAATGTGCGTATCCGAAAGAGAGCAACATAATAATTATGAATATGTGTATGTCTAATATATTACTTTGAGATTTTTGTTATTATGATTCCTTGTATTTCATGACCATGATTGTGTTGTTATGTTAGTCTTTAAAGTAATATTATGTTTTAAATGATAAGATAGGTGTTCATCCTTACTAATAATTTCAGAGAACCAGAATGACGAATCTGCAAGGAAGAGTTAGGTTGGTAGATAGTTCTATAGACTTTAGATTAAATTATGTATTTAATGAATACCAGCGTGTAAATCATTTTAAATTTGCTGTATTGGTAGAGAATGACCCTAGGGTTTATGTCATGATAGAGATGGATTTTGCTTGTAGTATTCCATTTGACTTCCCTAGGAGTAGGATACACCAAACCTTATATGTATATATGTATAGGGGTACAGTTAGAACCCCAGCAACCCTTACTTATTTATACACTTACCATGACCACGACTACGGCTCTCTAGGAAGACCTACTCGTTGGACCTTTGAGCACATCACAGGAATAGAGGTTAGAGCTGACTTTGGCGATAGGTATCTGGGATCTGATGATGACTTAGACTCCGAGAACCTAGCCAAGATAGAGAGTTGGAATGCTGGAGATGAGTATAACTGAGGCTGCTCTGGGATCCTTTTTGTAGTATTTAGTGTTGTAATTATTATTTTGATCTTTAAATACTCAAGCATACAGTTTGTAAATTAATATACTGTATTGTGAAGTGTATGTATAGCCTTTTTCTTTACTTTTGATTATGATAATCTCAAAAGTTTTATGCCATTGTATTCTATTGATTTAAATGGAAATATTTTATTAAATTGTAGTAATTACTTCCAGAAAAATTTTATGGTATCTGAATTTCATATTAAAATTGAATTGAAATGGAAAATTATTTATATGTACTGAATTTGAAATAAGAACGTTACACAGAGGAAGGCGTAGAGTAGAGAGAAGTCTATCATGCTTGTTTGATTATGTGTTTAATGCTTTTCTCTCATTATATTTTCCTATAATGTTTAATATTTAAACAATTGAAAAAACTTAGGCGATTTGTAATAACTTATTATGCACTCTAAACATGATACCTTATGGCATAACTTTATATAGATATATATATATATATATATATATATATATATATATATATATAATGTATGTTAGTGTATATTCATTTGAGATAAGTTTTTGATAAATTTTTTAAATTATTCCTCATTCACTGAGATAATATGATGACAATGAAAAATACCTATTGAAAATAGGGACATCTCAGTGACCACTCAAATTAACAATTAATGTAAATTGTAAATTGTGTGGTTTTAGGGAATTAATGTAGCATGCAACATTGTCTAGATTGTGAGCATGAAACACCCAATCGTTCAACTATGAAACAATTAATGATGAAAAATTAATTACTCTAAACTATAAAAGGAAAACACTTAAGACTTTAGATCATGGTATGATGATTAGAAAATAATTTTCTTTTATTTATTAATATTGTATATTTTTTTATGAACCAGTTTATGAGTTGTATATACTTACTCTTTCTATTTTCGATAATTTTATGGTATAAATTCATAGGAACAAATAAATGAGAGACTATTATAAGTTAGAAAGAAGCCTGAAGAATATATTAGGTGGAAGAATGTCTTTTGTCTTTGAGTGAAATAGCAGAGTTCTAATTCTTAGTTAGGAACCTTGTATTTCTTTTCCATTTTATTTGGAAAGTAAGAATTTAGATTTTTATAAGCATATCGGTGACTAAAAGATTTAATTGTAGGTGCGAATGAAATAAGCACCAACCATTTGTCCTAAAATTTTGGTTAGAATGATTTTAGTATTTATATTTAAAATGGTATCACGTCTCATAGCCAAATCAAAGACAAAGCTCAAATTATGGAAATAGAACTCTCTTGTAACTGTTCATTAAAATGAGTTTAAATTCGGATACCACTTCAGCTCAACTTGTCACTACGAAGCCAAGTTCTATAAATTTAGGCTCAACCATTACAAGTTTCATATTCCAACTTATCTAACCCATCAGTATTAACGGTTCAACCCACCATGAGTCAGGCTAGCCCATTATAATAATAGAAAAGAAATCACTGCAAAATAAAACTTTACTCAAGTGAGCCAAACTAAGATAATGAAAGAAAATTTTTAGATTTTTTTAAAATAGTTGTATAAGTTACTAAAAGATACCAATGAACAAGGGTAGAAAAATTTTGAATTTTAAAAAAAACTGTTCAATTTTTTATATTATTTTATGTTTTTTATGTAGTGAGTCGACCTATGAACCAACTCATCAAGTGGACCACCTCGGGTGAGTTGAGACGAGGACCACGTAGGCAGGTCTTTAACTGCAACCTGCGGTACCTAGTGCTAACTGCTGCACGAAGCAGTAAAGGACTTAGCTCCGCATTTCGTTCTATGAGTAAAAGTTTAATACTGTTAGGTTATCAGCTGAACCCTTGCCAAAGAAAATCAGAGAAAGGAAAACACACTCTTAAACCCAAGATACGATGCTATATCCTTCGTTTGGCCTGTGGTTTCCAAAGGGCAGCAATGTCTTCTTATATCGCTAGAATTAGACTTGTCTTCTTTTGGTTCTCTAGAAGAGCAACACTGCTTCTTACTACACTCTGCAAGGTTTCCGGGTTCGGACGACCGCTTTTTCGCCTACATTGAAAAACTAACAGTACGTAAATGGAAGACTGAGTAAAATGGATGCCTGAAACACCTTGAGAAATATTTGGTCCTCCATCAATGCTAAATAAAGAACCTTAAAATTTCATACTTTTTACCTCAGTAACAACTTGAATATTGTATGAATATTTTTCTACATCAGCAGTTTCCATATATGAAGAAAGCATACTATCAGTGACGTCCGAGCAATTTGTGTCTCTTCCCACACCAAAAGCAGCACTCAGTGGAAAATCCTTAGATTTTCTTCGTATGTGATCAAAAACATTTTCTTCAGTTGATTTCTCACAAGTTCTTGCTTCAGGTTCAGGGAGAAAAATACCTTCGGCAATAAAAATAAACAATGATGACATAAACAGCAAAAACAGAATTCTGAATCGCATGCTTGTAGAAAGGTTTACCTGTATCAACTATACTGCTCTTGTTATTTGGGCTTCCAGCTGTACTACGATCATTTGAAGTCAGATAGGGGTTGATATCATATTGTTCTGCCTTCATGAGCTCAGCAGGCAAATCAACATCATTTTGTATAGAAACCTCGATTTTTTCGTCATCATTAAGAACAACTATCTCAGGAAGATGGACAGGCCTCATATCACGCGCATGATTTCTTGCAAGAAGGACCTCTAGTGATGGACAGCGAATATTATCAAATGCAGACAGGAGAGAGAAGTTTTTGGCCTTTTCCCGTATGTGGTCAAATACTGTTTTCTCAGTGATGACTTTGTATTTGTCCTCTTCAACTCCAAGAGCATGTTCACCTTCCAACAAAACTAACAGAGATGAAAGGAAGAATGTTTTCAAACATCATAAAAGCTAATAAAATCAATTCTGGAATTACCTTCCTCTAACCTTTCATCCAAGAGGTTGAAACTTGGACTGCAACAGAAGAACAAATTTAAAATTTAGGACTTCAGAAAACTCTATACTTACATGGACAAGAAGATAAACATATATATCATACATTTCAAAGGAAAATGACTAACATGGAATCCCTTTCCGGCTTGTCCTTGCTCAAAGAGCATCTCTCTTTCTCTTTCAATGGTAAAAGAGGTGCATCTATATTGTCATCTTCTATGATATATACCTCTTCAAGTGGAGGATAAGAAGCCTGTTTCCCCCATTTTAGAACCAAATTTGAATTACTCTCCTTCATAAAGGAAAGCTTTTGGTGGACATCAATACCAACTGAATGGAAAAACTGAAGAATTGAGTTATCATACCACAATTTAGCAAACTATATTAGACAACATATATTAACCGCATCTTACTATATTCCTCAAATATAAAATCAGCCTTGATAGTCTGCTTTCCTTGTAGGATGGGGACAAGAATTGTTACACTGTATGGGCTGCAATATGAGTAAAAAAACACGTATTTAAGCCAAAATGTGTCAAACTTAAAAAAATAGGTAGCATAAGAGCAGTTGACTATCTGACAGTGAGAGTGATAGATCATTGGAGATTAATTGATGAAATATATAACTGAACACAAAATAGTAAAGCAATATGCTTGCTGTCCTAGAGACAAAAGTCTCCCTACAGAGTATTCTCTGTCCATAAACTACAGAAACAACTCCCTCCTTTTTCACCCTACTACGAGATAGATATATACTTTTAATACAGAACTGCAATTAGTTATTTTCTTTTTGTTGTTTTTTCTAGTTATATGGACAGAGAATACTCTCTTTAGACTAGATACCACAAATTATTACAATTTGCTTGCATATGATGCCTTTTGTTTACAGTGACCTTTTGTTTAAATATTGAATGGAAAATCATCCAAATTAAAATTCTTAAACACTTTGAATCTGTATTGCCCTATAATAAGCTTTTACTGTAAAAGTAAAGCCAATTTACGTACCTGGAGAACTGGTCAACCCTGCAGCAATGAAATGGAGAACATTAAACCTTGATAAGATGAAAGAAGAACAATTACACAGTTCTCTACAAACCAAGGAGTCAATACCATCAATAAGACATGTTTAATAGAAACTTTTTAATTGGTGTACACTATCAAGTCATAGATTCATACTTAGCAACTCATCATCACCTGATTTTTTCATGAAAGAGAATAGTGTTGTCTTCCTCTGAACCAATGATCTGTGTGATAAAAAGTAATTGTAACTTATTAATTGTTAAATGAATAAAAATCTCCGCAGAAGACATTTGGATAACACACCATATCAGCGTAATGCCGTTTAACGGATTGGCCTGATTCTGATATCTTAGTTAATGTTACTACTAGCTTGGACTTTCCTTGTATGTTGCTTTCGATTTCTGCAAGCTTCACATCAACTTTTGGAGGTAGTGATAGTAGAGAATCTTTAATATGGTTACCAAATGGGTATTTTCGACCAGTCACTATTTCTATTCTCCTTGGATCAGCAACAGCAAGTGCCTCAAACGTTTTAATTCCCATTGAATGAAGCGCCTGGTTAGAACATCAAAATAAGAATATCACACAATTATAGGATAGTGCATAAGTGTCGGCAACTATTTTATAAATATTAATAACATCAATGAATTAATAAACCATTACCTTTGCTGTAACCATCCCAATTCCTGGTAACTGTTTCAAAAGGTATGGACTGTCATCCCAAAGTTTCTGGTCTAGTGATTTGGCTAGAAGGGCTGATTTCACTGCTCCTTTGTAATTCCTTCTATAAACAAAATAGTCTTTCATGCATTTTGCAATTCGACATCCATTTGAACATATAGAATTCATGTCCTATAGCATATCAACTTAATCAGTAAGATTTAAAAATGTTGATCTACACAAAATACTGAAGTTACAGTTGCTACACCTGAATCAGAGATAGATCATGGACTGAAGGATCGCCAGTTAGGCAATCATTTGCTAAAATAAATATCTTTTCTTCTCTTGTTTGAATGCGCTTTTTCCTTTTCCCTTTTTCTCCAAGAATGTGAAATCGAAGTCGGCCATCTCTATCAGTATTTATATCATTTAGGAGTTTCTTCTCATTGCGTCTGAGCTGTATCCCTTCATTTTTTAGTGCAGAATTGTGTCAATATTTAATGTAGATACACTGGGTATGAAAAGATTTCACAAATATATCCGCACATGCAATTTCTTCTGCACAGCACACAACATGAAGTGCAGCTTCTAAACTGAAATTTTCAGGAGTCCGCATTATCTGTTTCATAGTGTCAAATCTCAAATAGTACTTTGTCATTAACCTTCCAGGATCTAAGAAAACAGAAAATATCAGCTACCAGTTTGTATTATAATCTTTGATAAATACATCACGAATATTATTTATAGATATCAGTACCTAATGGTCTCAAGAGGAAGCCATCTTCATCAACCCAGACCATTTGATACTGTGATAACTCATTGACTTTCTGCACACAAATCTCTGAGATAACATCGCTTTAATAATTTATGGAGGCAAACAAGAGGGGAGAGGAAAGGGAATATTTAAGACGAAGAGAAAAGGGGATGGTAAAATGTAGAAAGCTATAAAGACAACCAAACAATGACTATTGTACCTTGTACATGCTTCTCTAAACGGTCACCAGAAATCCCTTTCTTAATTGTGTAGTTCACAGGGTTCTGCTCATGTATAAGAGTTTGCATCAGATGGGATGGGAAACTAATCAACGAAACTAACAGGTTCCCTGAATCACTTACCTTTTGCATTCTAACATACAAGTAGGAGCATTTCAGCCATTCAATTGCTTTTGTAATATCAGATACTGTCAGTTGAACTATTTCCGCAAGTAAATGCTCCGTCACACATGAGAGCAATCTATGCTAAATAAATATTAATTAGCTGAACAGGATAAATGCACAATGTTTGCAGAATGTGAGCAACATTCAAAGAAGTCATATGTATTCTGCAACTTAGAAAGAAGCAGTCTTACTGCGATTCCACCACTTCACACCCATTTAAGAGATTCTCATACAAGTGAACCTGTGGTGTGACGGTATGAAAGAGAACATGAGAGCACGTATTTTGAAACAATAAATCTCGTAGTCAAAATTAAAGAACTTCACGTAAAAGTAAAAATCATTATGCAGGTCAATTCCAAACAATAGGTATGAGAGAGAGACACGAGAAGGAAATGTATTTGCAAGTAGCATAGTTCACCGTTTCTCTCCTTGTCATGATTATAACCATGCCTGTATCATCAAATGGTGGTCGGCCTGCCCTTCCACACATCTGTACCACAAAATTTTTACCCCAAATCATATATCGACAATCCAATAGTGCAACTAAATACCATGGAAAAGCCAAGCATTGATTCTCCCTCCTCCTACCATTTAGTGTGACTGAAGGAATAGAGCAAAGTAAACATATCATATGATTGCACATGCTAGTGTTCTAAGAGAAAAGGAGTAACTAACACAAAATGGACTTCTAAATCATCGGCTATCCAGTATAAATAGTAATCAAAGAATTGTTTTTAAAATTACAAAACTAATTTTCTATTGCTACGTCAATTGTAAAGGCCATTTATGCAGATGATACGCGTAATGACTCTATATTAAAACTGAGGAGTACCTAACTGTTGAAATTCATAATTACTTATATCATCAGCCATTTTGCAATATTAATATACGCTTATCATAAGGTATCTAAAGAAGCAAACCTGCAATATGGTGGAGCGGTCATATTCCATGTAGAGACCTTTTTCCTTGTTGCTGGCCCATTAATATATTTCAATAAATCAATTTGCTGAAGCATATTTTTCCATATGGTACAATGATGTGCACAAAAATTATCAGATATAACATACAAGTGCTGTGTTGATTTAATAACCACTGTGTGTGCTGGGAGGTTGATTCCGTGGGCTAGTGTATTTGTAGTGCAAAGTACTTCAAGGTCACCCTTGAGAAAAAGGCCCTCCACAATATTGCGATCTTTAAGGCAAAGGCCACCATTGTGATAACCAACTGCCAGCAAAGCATTTTCGACAGTCACACACTTACCTATTTGAAATTCTAATTCACGTGCATGGGTTTGCAATCACTTTCAGAAAGCATTATAATTTAGCCAAAGCTCAAAGCAATATACAGGATTCTTGTATACCACCATAAAGAATATATGACTGCATTTGCTTGTCACTGCATGAAAGAGAAGCCTCCCTCAGCCGATCTTGTTGTTCTCTGTTCTTAATGAATGGATTTGATTGACCAAAAGTCATGACTATGTGAGAGAGTCGCTGAGCTGCTTCTTGTGCTCCTTTTCTTGTTGAACAAAATATAAGTGCAGATTTCCCTCTTGAGTATTGCATGAGAATATCTGAAATCATTTGTAAATTGTAGAATAATAATTTTTCACCTTATGTACAAATTTTAATATCAGAGAGAAGTTACAAAGTGTAGAGCTGTCAATTGAAAGGTTGAATTATCTCTGCTTACCGAAAATATAATTTTGAAGGCGCTGCATGGTAGTACCATAAATCAGAAATTATGATAAATTTAATTGGTAAAACGGATTATTTAGAAGTAACATAACCTAGAGCAACCTTTTCAAAGAGAAAATCGTTCTTGGCTGGGGCATAACCTGCATAAATTTGGTAGTAGCATAATAATATAACATTTCTAAATTTCTGTCAGACTACAGACGAAGACACTGACTAATGTATAATAAAAATTCAAATTAGGAATCTGTTGCTGGTGTTTCTCTGTTACCAAAAAAATCCAATCCAACTTGGTTGTAAAGATTTTATAATACGATGCAATAATAATAGAAAAGAAATTAAATTAACGACAGTTGTGTTAATTTTATATGCATACCAAAAACCTTGGTTGTTAGCTTTACCGGCCTCATTTCTTCTCCAAACCTGTGAACATTCAAAAGCAAAGCAATTTTTTTCTGGATATTGACTTTCAGCATTATATTACAAAGTCATATAAAGGAGGTGGAGATGGAAATGTTTATGTACCTTTTAATCCCTTGGTCCGGAACTTTGAGCCATTTAGCTGCAATAGTGCATATATATTGCATAATATTCTTCCCGTCGTTGTTGACATGTTATTTTATTTTACATAACTCTTTTGACAACATCAATATACAAAAAATTACCTAGATCCTCAATATTTGGAATTGTGGCTGAAACAGCTAGGAAGCGGACCTGAGCCAGTGGATTTGATTTCATTTTTGGATTGCAAGCAACAATTTTTATTCTGCTAACAATTGCTTCCAGAGCAGCTCCACGTGGATCATTCAATAGATGAACTTCATCAATCAGTAAAAGTGCAATATCACTGAAAAAGCTCAAGCCACCACCTTCTATACCATATCGTGATACTGCATCAAATTTCTACTCATTGGACAAAAAATCAAGTTCAGCTATCTCTCATAGTGTAAACAACTCACTCAGCCTAATTATTGTGCATGAATACATGGACAAGGAGAAGACCATCAAAAAAGCACACATTTTTTAAACAAAAGACGGAATGCTGATTTATCACACAAAAATTACAAGTGTACCTTAATTTCTTATTAAATAAGATTTGCTTTTAGAGGCTGCGGGGATTAGGGAACATATGCATAAACTTATTAACTCATGAAGATAATAAACTGCATTCATTTAACATTTCAAAGGAAAAAGGAGAGTATGATAAAGAATAAAGAGTAAGTGGCCTAGATCTACTTATGTTATTCCATTTGCACACTGACCTCGGGAGTTGTCAGAATAATATCTGCTTCTTGTATATTCCTTGGAGTGTAAGATTCATTGTCTCCTGTCAGCTCCAGGCAATTTATCCCCCAAGGCCCAAACTTCTTATTCCAATCACGGAGCTTCTCCTGTACTAAAGCCTTAGATGGGGCTATGTAGATCTTCACACCATGCGAGAAGACCATTGTACCAACAGTTAGTTACAAATACTCATCAAACTGTGCTTCATATGACTCAAAATGTGCAAAAGCTTGGGCTGGTAAAAATTATTGGATTTATAACATTGGACACGGGAATAAAGAAAACCTGATTGTAGGCATTTTCTTGCCTTGAGCACGAAAAAATTAAACTCTTTGGAAGGAAGGCCATGAGAAATGTTTTCACTTTTGGAATCTTTCGGGAAAGGACTTACTGTTTTAAGAGACCCCTTTACATTTATGAATCTTCCCTCTGCAGAGATGAACCTGGATAGTAGCCTCAAAGTGCAAAGCTCAAAGAGAACAGTTTTACCACTCCCAGTTGGTGCAGAGATGATCATGTTTACATCAGAGTGAAAACAGATAGGAAAGCATTCACTCTGAAGTGAATTAAAATATCTGCTAGCCACATAATAGAAAAGCTCATTATGCTAATCGAGAACCCTTGCGAGATAATTAAGCCACATAATAGAAAAGCTCGTTATGCTAATCAAGAACCCTTGTGAGATAATTAAGGTGCAGAGTATTTTCTAAATCTGGACAATCACAGGTTTGAAAGGCAACTACCAATTTTTATGTTATGTCACAAATAAAAGTGAAAGACAATCATCTCTTATTTAAGACCTCGTCGATTAAACAAATTATAGAAGTTAATAGGATTAACTTCAGGGCAGCTAAACTTATCTGCAGCAACAAAATATATTATTCACGTAAATGAATAATATAGTACCTGAAACTAAAACATGAGCGAAACGGCGCAGGCAAATTGAACACAGACTTTAAGGAATATGAATCCATAATCAGTACGCTGGATTACCCGAACAAAAATGAGCAGAAAACAGAAGATTAGTTCTAATGAGCAGAAATGAGAGTAATTACGTAACTAAGGTATCATAATCAGGCACATATGATAAGAATTGAGATATAATATTGCATATTAACGGTGGTTATTTCAACTAATTTTCAGATAATAGTAATAATACACATAAAATGTCAACATTAATAAGCATGACGGTAATCTTGAGAAGAAAAAACGATGAAATGAGAGTCTGTTTATGTTTCATAATTGAAAACATAAAAAAAATTCCAAGAATATCTAAAAAAGAGGATGAAACAGAGGTTCGTCGAATACTATACGCAAATATCAGCAAACCAAAACTTCTAAACACGTAAGTCAATTTCTCTCTCTCTCTCTCTCTCGCTCTCTCTCTGTCTCTCAAAGCAAGTATATCACCAACTCTCAAATATCAGCTTCTAAGTTCTAACTCTAACGTGTCCCTGTTTAATATTTAGATCAGATAATAAAGTGGATCCTAATCCTAATTTGACAAAAATTAAATAATAAAACCATTTCTCCCCCCTCGAAGTTGTAATCATAAGTACCAAAAATGATGGATTCAGCGAACCTGAGATTTTACAGGGTTAAAAAATGCATCAACAAACAGGCATTTATACAAACCAATGCATTCATGAAAAATATTAAAACACATCTGAAACAACTTCAAAGAAAAAAAAAAACAAACAAAACTAGTTTTGTTTGAATTCCTCAAATTCAGAGGCAGGTCGAGTTTCTGACGCGTGCTTTCATGCGTAGATATTTGAGAGGGAGAGAAAGACCTGAAGGAGGAAGAAGATAAAGAAGAATTCCTCAAATTCTTCACGCGTTTTAGTTATGGGAAGAAGGGTGTGTGTGTGTGTGAGAGAGAGAGAAGAAAATGCAGTCCTGAGTAGCAGCGAGGGAACTTTAAAACGAGCGAATGAAAATTGAATTGCGTTGTATTTATTGATGGATGTAGTCCTCTTGTCCTGGCAGTATCTTCGGATTCCAACTCGGATGCTCTGGCTTGCTATTAACGGTCTCTTTCTTCATCGGTTTTGGCGGAACTGCCCTGCATCTTGGCTTAAGCAAACAAAATTCACTTAAGTAAATTTTGGCAAAAAAAAATAATAATAATTTTAATCTAAGTACAAAAAATTGCTTAAGCCAAAAAAGTAATTTTAGTTTTAAGTATGTAAAATTCACTTGAGCAAAAATGAAAAATTTTACTTAAACTAGAAATTAAGACAAAAATATTATAAAAAAAAAGAAAAATAAAGATTGAATTTAATGAGCAATAATGATGCTTAACCACTCTAATTTAATGTTGTTAAGAATTATCCTTAACAATTTGCATGACGATATTCATTAGAAAAATTTGAAAGAATAAGAAAATATTGCTTAGCATTTATTTATGTTGAAGAAATATTATATAGTAACCTTTTTTACTATCTTTTTCATTTTGAAAATCGGTCAGATTTGAGGATTAGAAAACATTCAAGTCACTCAAGGAAAAAAACAAGTTGATTTGATTAAAAAAACTATTTTATTATTAGAAAATGACATTCTTATTATTAACTTAACATCCATGTTCCCACAGATTTGAGCTCCTCCTTGCAACACCGCAATTGAAAAATGTGAAGCAGTAATAGTTGGGCAACTAGCAATATTAATCTCTTCCTTTGTTATCATCTCTATTAGAAACTGTGCTATTATTATTAGAATTATCTAATTATTATTATTATTATAATTAGTGATACCTTTTAAAAACCAGGTTAATATATAATTTGAATGAAATATCTACTTATTTGAACTTGAATACCTAATTATAATAAATATGGGTTAAAATATATAACTTAACTCAATAGGAGAAAAATAAAGTTACTAGGTTTTTTATTAATTCCTGTTGTCATAGAATTCAGAGATTTAGGATTGCAATTCCAAGAGTGGAATTTTCCACAAGCGTAAAACAATTTATTATTTAATAATTTTTGTTTTACACCTGGTCTTTCATGTTTCCCAACATTTAGTGTTAATAACATGAAAAGAAAACATAACCACGTAGAAACGATCAATGCAAACAAGTTAGGCATCAATTTGTATATTTATCAATTTATTCTTTTCAAAACTAATATTCATTAAGCATCAAGTAAGTTAGTCATCAATTTATATATAAATATAGTTATTTATTAGCAAGTATATCAATTGAAAAGTAATAAAAAAAAAATTTTAATTAAGTTCTTAAAATATCATCTTATAATATTATTTTTAATTATTAAAAGTGTCGTATTTCATTATTTAAACTTAAATAATGCGTATGAAGATAAAAGAAATTTATAAAAGATATAATATTAAAAGAGAAAAAAATATAGCATAACTTTTAACACAAAATTATTTAAGATAAATCTAGAGTTTATAATTTTACTTTTACACTTTTTATATCCACTTTTAGTTTAACTCTGATTATGATTTTTCTATGATTGTCAATTATTAATACTAAAACTACTAACACCTAATAGTTATACAATAATACTTTTTTTCTAAACTATTATCCTCAATGGTTATGCAAGGCAAGATAGAGAAAACATAAAGAGTCTATGAGTTTGTTAATTTAATAATCGATTAATAGAGAAAAATTAAGTTTGGTTCACTTGATTCTTTGTCCCATTTTATCCTCGGCAACTTTAGCAGGTTATAAGCTTCAAAACCAACTTTAGAAGCAATGAATTGGTCCAGACCTTAGCAACTCCAAGGAGTCCTAAACACTTACCATTGAGCATTTATCGAGAGTACAATCTCCCCGGTTACTGAAGTATAAGGGAAGCCACCGTAGTACATGGCTGGAACAAAAGGTGCTCCATGGCCAGTCTCGTAGCTTCTACCATAGTTTTTCAATCTTTCCAGTTTTACAATCTAATTCTCTTTACCAACCCCCAATGATATTTTGGATCGCCTGTGAAACTAATCCAATGCTTGAGTCAAGGAAGCTTGTTTCCGTACCCCAAAAATGGTTAGTCCTTACCAACTAAAAGAGCTAGTTTGGGATAAACTAGAAGCTCTACTTTAAAAGATATCTCTTCTATGGTCCAGTTGATTACATAAATAGTTTCATTAACTACATTTAGTACAATTACTTACAATGCAATCAATTATAATATATTAAGAGTGACTAATTCTAAACATACAAATATAAACATACTAGGGCAAAAACTAATATAAGAAAGAAACCGCAATTGTCATTAAAATAAAGATTACATAACTATGCAAAGGATACATCATAATTCTAGTTATAAATTTAACTACTCATAATCAAATAAGAAGAGAAAACTATTGTAAAGAAATTCACTATTCATTTGAAAAGTAATGCAAACTAAAGGGATCTTAAGGGAAAAGAGATGAGAAAAGTTCTTATTCCCAAAATGCATTCTCAATCACTTGCTCAAACTATAGAAATATATTCTTCATTTTCACCTATGATCTCCACTTTCAAATGACTCCAAAAGCCATCAAAAGTCATTTCTGAAAATATTGTTTCAGTCACAGGCACTAATTGTCCTTAAATTGAGTTCTTCATTCCTAGAAAATTTGTAAATGTACCTCTAACATGGTCGTAGTTCTTGTTGTGCATGACACTATTTTTTTTTATCAATTTTTTTTTCAATCATAACTATAATACTTCTACAATTTTCTAGTTATCAATTTATGCTAAACTGCAATAATTAATAATAAAATTAGTCTAAAATCCTTATCAAATAAGGGTCAAACATATAAAAATAAACTATAAAAATATCCCAAATATAGACAATTAATCATCAACTTGTATATTTAAGTAATCTTTTATAGTATTGTTGATCATCAATTTTTATATTTATACATGTGAATAGTACAAACTTATATCCTTTGCCTTTTACTTCTTTTATGGTTTCTTTCAAATATTAGATTTAAAACAATTACCACCCAAAGTTTATATAAATATGTTTTGTTATAATCAAACGGAAAAGTTTACAAGAGTTTCAATAGTTGTCACTCAAAATTTTGACACTAGAGTTTAGAATAGAAAATACTCTAAATTTTTTTTAGTTATAGATAGAAAATAAGAGAAGATGTATTGAATTTAGTTATAAGAAAAATAAAAAATAATGTTGAAAAACATCTTCAATAATTTTAGTTTGAGCTAAGAAATAAGACGAATTGAAAATGTAAAAATCCTTTATTAGTTTGCAAAAATATTGAAATATGAGAAGAAGAAAGAACATTGGAATCCAAGAAACTTAAAGATACAATACAAAACCATTGAAATTACAAAAAAAAAAAAAGAGTACATTACACCCAAGTTAAATAAGACATAAAATGTCTAACCCTCCACCACATTGTCGACGGACTCTACTAGCAGCGGATCAATCAAATAGAATAAACTAAACAACAAGTTATGACTCTTCTGGAGGGTCCTCCTCTATCTCCTTGATGTTCAGGGGGTCTTCTTGAAATTATAGCTCAACGTGGAGAAAAAGATGAAATAAAGTTATCTTCAAAATCTACAACAACTAGAAGAAAATATCCAACACCACAATATATGTCAACAAAGAAAAGGAGTGAGATATGTTTTCAAGTAAGTAATATTAAGAAAAAAGAAATAAAATAAAGTAAATACGAGCATATATTACAATTGTTTTATTACATTAAAACAATTGTAACTTTTATAATTTAATAAAATGCAAGTCTAATTACATTTTTACAATTATTACATTAAAACAATTGTATAATCAATGCAAATGATAACTCTAGCTTTAGCAAAAATATCATTTTTATGCTTATGCGACTCTGGATCCATAACAATCTTATTGTTCAGAAGTTGTTAGAAGTTTCACAAGTTAACTTATATTTCGCATGTATGGTGCGTACTAGAACCTCTACCAACTAATTTACCTTGACCAACATGATAAGTTTTAGGAGAAAGTCAGGATATAAAGAGCATCACATGGAGAATCGTAGCCAAAGTTCTAGGGCCTAGGATCACTCATAAGACTATTGGTAAGTCACCTAACTCCATTAAATCCCCTAGATGTTGAGGTCCTCCCTATCTTTCACCAACAACAATTATAAAATGACTTCGTGACTCCCCTCACAAGCGAGCAGATGTTTCACACTTATTTTCCTTCTGAATAGTCATGTATATTTTGGAGTTTCCTTCCCTTAATCACACAAACATGCGTCGACCAACTTAGGATCCCATATCCTTTCACCAATTATTTAGAACCATATTAGAGAATTGGCAAGTAACTATACATGTGCCTCAATGCACTTTCTCTAAGAGTTCCAAACTCACTAGCCTCATCTCTTTTCTTGAGTTTTAACCATTATCCAACTAGAGTTATACTATTCATTTATTTTCAAAAAGAAAGAAAACAAGTTTTCACATAAGTTTACATTTTAGCCATTAGATTCAATTATAAACTTAAGGTCTAAGTAGAAATCATAGCCAAATTCCTTAGAGCATATATACTTACATATCAATTTACTCTTACCATATCATTACACATTTCTTACCCAAAAAAGGCTCAATTCACAAATGATGTCCACTCAACTTGCATATGCCAATATGCACATCCTTAGTGTTTCATACAACCAACACATGTACCAAACTATACATTTCCAAAGAGTACAACACACAATGTGACTTTGTTCAGATACATCAAACATACATACTCATATTAGGCATTCTATCAAATCAACTTTTAGTTCTCAACAAACTTTTGAGTAGACAACTCGCTTAAAATTTATAACTTTCATGAAATAATATCTATTCAAACATCAAGTGCAAAATAATTCTCAACCAAAGATTAAGAGTCATCACAAAAAAAAAATATTCACTTAGAAATACATTTTAAAACATAGAAAGTCTCAAGTAAAGGTTCAAGAATGTCAACATGTAATTCAAACACCACATGTCTCATAATTCATGTGTTTTTTTATGCATAAATAAGTGCAGAAAAATCGTACTTCTTGTTCACACAAACTTCACAATTTTTCACCACTTATGCATTTTTATGTTGTAAGGTATCCAAATGGGGCCTACTTGAGGCTTCAAACCAAGGAGCCAACAATTCCAGCAATACACTACCTTCACCGATGTATGTTACATTTGCAAATCAAATTCAATTAAAGAGTTTCCTCATGGTTAGAGTCAACTTTTTGAGACAACTTGCTAAAGAATTTTTAAATACTTTAAAGCATTTGAAACTTTCTTTTTCTTAAAAACCAAACATGCATTTAGAGAGAAAATAATTTTAATAAAATAAAAATAAATACTTTTATCTCAAAATTTCTTTAACCAAAATCATGAAATTTTGTAAAATACATTGAATTACCTTTAAAAAAAGAAAGAAAGAGAATTGCGTTGCACACATGAACATGGAGGGACAAACATCAGGATGTTATAGTATGTATAACAATGATATACATCGTTTAGAATTATATGATCCCCTCAATAAGATCAACCATGTACATGCCATGATATCTACAAAAAAATAAGTATAAGAAGAACCAAGAATAACCTATATAAATCATTTCCTACCTCTAACCTTAATATATAAAAGAATTAATCACATACATTTATTTAATCATGCTTAAAATATGAACTTTTAAAATAGTTTTAAACTTTAAAGAAATAATATAAGTTGTTTACAAGTTAAATCTTTACGTGAAAGAAACTACACAAGATAAAACATCATTATAATACACACACACACACACACACACACATATATATATATATATATATATATATATATATATCCCTAAATACAATAGACAAGGTCAACTATATACATGTCTACAAAAGAATCAAGAATAAACCTAGAATCAAGAATAAACCTACTTTTCCTAAATACAATAGACAAGGTCATTATTAGAGTTAAGAATATGCAAATATATAAAAGAAAACATTGACACCTTTAATTAATAATATATGTCTTAATTGTTGTCCTTAGAATCCAAAAAAGATGTCTTTGGATCTTTTGGAAGAATTGTCCTTGAAACTAGAACTCTAAATATGACGGCTACCTACGACGCATGATGGCCCAACCCCACAATCAGTCATCACCTAATCAACTTCTTCAAAAATTTTTACTAACGTGCACAAATGTCAAGACTTTAGAGGTATATGTGGTTGTTATGGTCTCTCATGAATCTTAACAATACTATAAAAATGTAATGAAGTGACACTCTAAATGAGTATGCTAATACATTTAACCTTTAGTTTGGATCAAACAATATGATGTACATTTAAGGATGAGAATAGGTTAGACTAAGTTAGGCTTTTTATAAGTAGACTTTATCAATTTAATAATTTTAAAAGCTTGATTTGACATATTAACATTTTTAATGACTTAATTTGTATTGAGATTTTTTAATAGGTTATTAAGTCTCTTTATAAATAGGTTATCAAAACATATAAATAAGTATGTTTCTATAAAAGTCATAAAATTTATATCTAAATAAGTTATAAAAAAAAGTTCAACACTTTAAATTTTATAATAAATTTACATATTCCCATAAATCACTTTCACAACTACATATTTGATTTAAACAAGTAAGTTATTAAACAAATACAATAATAATGCAAAAAATTTCATCAAACAGCGCGTTTTCTCTCAAAAGGTATGTAGTAGGGATACTTAAAAGTAATTAGAATTTTAATTCAAGATTTTATTTATTTTAAAATTTTATTTATTTAATATATTATTATAAATTTTATAAATCTTAAATAAGTTATTCTATAAAGCCTAATAGACTTTTTCTCAAATTTAAATTTAACCTATTTAATTAATTAAACATTTTAAAAAATTTAAATTAAATCTATTATCTAAATAAATTAAGCTAAGATTTAAAAAGTTAGACCGTATGCTACAGTTAAAGCCTATTTCTAACATTTATACCTTAAATAGTAGTGGCGTGAGAATTGTCATCATATCCCAACTGTCCTTTGGGACAAATATTTTAGTCACTCTCAGTAAAATTATAATGTTTGCCATGATTAATTATTTTGACATCAAGATATACAAGTTTCAAATAAAAATAGAGGAGCTGGACATATTTATAATAAGTTAAAAGAATGTAATAGACAACTAATTTACCATCAAAATTATTAAATTTATAAATAAAATAAATCAATATAACAATCATTAAAAAAATTTGCATGTGATGCTTATACGACTAGTTAATTAAGGATTATTATTCATTTCAGTATCATTTACTAATATAATGAATGCATGACTCTTTTTCCAATGTGATTCATGGTAGCATTCCAAATTGCAGAATGCGATTCAGAGTCCACATCAAATATTACTCGCTAAACATGTACATTTAAAAAACAATTGTAAACAATTTAAAAATACAATATTTTTATTGAGAAAGTCAGGCTAGCGTAAATAATTCCATACGTATTTTACAAAAAGAATAAAAATAAAAGACTAATTTTATTTATATAATAATTTACGAAGAACAAAAATGACCCAAAAGTTTGGTTCATTTAATCTTTCCAAGCGAGAAGGAGAGAGAGACAAAAATGCGAAAAGATTTCCGTACGCTAGCCATGGAAGGAAGGAAATGACGTAAGCGGGAGCAATTTCTCTCCTCACACTTTAACCATTGATTCCCTATGGCATAAAATAATTTATGACGGCGTTAGGCATTGCTGCTAGCAATTGCAGAGTGACAAAAACACACACGCAAACGCAATCATCTGTTAGCAAAGCAAAAGTTTGTAAGGGTGCATTAAACCGAATCGTAATGGAACGTGAAGAGACCTCAACCTCATTCTGCAAAAATGTTCCCAGTCTCCTATCATCTTTCGTTGAAACCTTCGTTGACTTCTCAGTCAGCGGTCTCTTCCTCCTCCCGCCGCCGCCGTCACCGCCGCCTCTTCCTACGCGGCTTCCCTCGCCTCGCCGCTTGGTCGCCGTCGGTGACCTACACGGCGATCTCGAGAAATCCAAGGAGGCTCTGCGCATTGCTGGCCTGATCGACGCCGCCGACCGCTACGTTGGAGGCTCCGCCACCGTGGTGCAGATCGGCGACGTCCTCGACCGCGGCGGCGAAGAGCTGAAAATACTCTACTTCCTCGAGAAGCTTAAGCGCGAGGCGGCGCGTAGCGGTGGCAGAATCATTACTATGAACGGAAACCATGAGATCATGAACGTTGAGGGCGATTTCCGGTACGCGACGGAATCCGGTGTCGAGGAATTTAGGGTTTGGGGTGAATGGTTCCGAATTGGGAACAAAATGAGGAGTCTCTGCCACGGTTTGGAAACGCCGAAAGATCCTTTGGAAGGGGTTCCCATGTCCTTTCGCGGCGTGAGGAAAGAGTTTCTTGACGGGCTTAGGGCCCGGGTAGCAGCGTTGCGGCCCAACGGCCCAATTTCGAGGAGGTTCCTGACGCAGAACGTCACCGTTTTGGTCGTTGGCGACTCGCTTTTCGTCCACGGTGGGTTGTTGCCGCACCACGTTTCGTATGGTTTAGAAAAGATTAACAAGGAAGTTAGGGATTGGATTAACGGTTCGATGGGTCGGTTTTCGCCGTCTTATTGTCAGGGACGAGACGCTGTCGTTTGGTTGAGGAAATTCTCGCATGAGGTTGAGCAGAATTGTGATTGTTCGGCGCTGGAGCATGTTTTGTCAACGGTTCCTGGGGTGAAGAGGATGGTGATGGGGCACACCATTCAGACCACTGGGATTAACGGCGTTTGTGATGATAGGGCGATTCGGATCGACGTGGGCATGTCTAAAGGGTGTGGTGGTGGTTTACCTGAGGTATTGGAGATTAACGGCGCTTCTGGGTTGCGGATATTGACGTCAAACCCGTTGTATCTGAATAAGGGCAATGTGTCTAGGTCAGATGTTGGGACGGAACAAGGAATTGACTTTATGGTTGCAGAACGCAGTGGACCTAGGCAAGTGGAAGTTAAGGCTTAACTGAGAACTGGGATAGCTCATGGAACAACTTTGATTTTTCTGGAGCCTAAGCTCAGAAGGTATTTCTTCACTTTGACCTTTTGTTTGGTGATGGGGTTTGGAGCTGTCACATGTTGCTCATTTATTTAGCTTCGAACTTTATGGTTATTAAATTCGGGTGGATTGTAAATGATTGATCTGGTGAATGATTATTTTAACTCCCACATTGTTTCATGATGTGCTTGTTCTCCCTGAAGATGAGTGTGCACCCAAAAGATTGGATGACCTTTATCATATATCACAAGATTTATAGTGACCCATAAACATCTGTTTTGTGTGGGAAAGGATAGGGTGCATCTGGTGTTTTAAAAATTGTAGAGAAAGCAGCTCCTGCATCAAATAGTTCACTTTTTTTCTTTTGGTTATTTTTCAGATAAGCCTCGTGGATGGTGAAAGAAAATTGATACGCAATGAAAATGGATAGGCAGTCGCCGCATTCTTTTGTTTTTCATTTCCATTGCCTAGTTGATGTATTGGCAGCATTAGGCTTTCACGGAACTTTTGTCAGTGTGGTTTCCAGCTTCCACCCATTCTCCTGTAGTCCATACATACAATTTCTTCTTCTTTTACCTTTTGGTTGTCTATTTTTTTCAAAAAGAAAATGTTAGGTAGAATTGAAAATATGGTTTCTTCCAAAGAAGGAAACTCGTAGAGGCACTCTTCTAGTTATCCAACCCACCTGCTGACAGCATAAGCTGCTGAGATCTCTCACTTCCATCAAGGCCTGGAGCACACTCAGAAATGGGGGTTTGTTTGCTTGAAAGCACTTGCAGTTTATAAACAATGGATGCATTTTAATAAAATGGACTGTTAAGATTTTAAGAAGTGGGTACGTGCAGATTTTAAGAATTCCAGAATAATAGTTTGATAGCCCTGAACCTATACGGTTAGTTGTATTTTGTGACATTTTATAAATGATGATGGATAGAAACTTGTATTTCTGCGAAAAGTGTGTGGTTGGAATTTATTAAGACGTTTTAAGCTAGGTTTTTACTTCTTAACATCTTACTGGGAATTTAAACTAAAAGTTCCCTTGAACTAGTATAAATCAATATATTGTTGGGGAGAATTTCGTAACACCCCCCCCCCCTCTCTCCCCCAAAACCACCCACCGGTTCACTCCAAAACATCTACTGGACCAATTTATATTGGTGTAATTTTGATTTAGCATGGTTGCTTGTATAATTTTCCATGGCCATGCGCTGTTGTTCTTTTGTTTTAGCATCTATGTCGCTTGGCTAAGGTTTGGTTTTTGTTATTTATTATTTGCTTGTTATCCTTCTACCATTTTATAGTTTCTGATAAATTTTCTTCTCATTCTTTCCCCAATCCTTAGTAGTTGCTTGGCCCGGTTGTCACTTTGTACAGGAGTGTTTGTGGTTCTGTTTGATTCCGATTATACTAAAAAATTCATTTGAATCACATATAAAAATTAACATGTAGTTTTTGGTTTAGATTAAATATGATTTGAAAATTCAATCAAATTGAACTGCAAAATATTGGTTCTGATTGAATTGATTTTCATTTATTATTAAATTATTTTATTTTTCAAAATTTTATTTATTATTATATAATTTTTAATTTATTTTTTACTTTAGAGTTAGTAATAGCTAAAATAATTGAAATGAGTTTGTTAAAGAAATAAAAAAATGAAGAAAAAAAATAATGATTAAAAAGATAACATTATTGACAGAGAAAAAGAGAAAATATATTTAATAGAGAAAAATAAAAATCTAAAGTGAATAAAAGTAAAGCCCTATATATTTATATAATGTTATGATAAAATTGAGTGAAAAAATAATTTTTATATGAAAATACAGTAAAAATAATATAAATTTATCTTAAATGCAGTTCATATCAATTTTAAGAATGGGATCTGAAAACTGAACTATAATATAAAATATGACTTTATTTTTAGTTTGATTGGTTTTCAATTTTTTTATCAGTTTAGCAGTTTGAAAAATTTTAATTGAAGAGCCCATCTAACTGAAAAGAGGTAGAGGATCGATAAAAGTACAAATACATGTTGGCTATAAATTGATTAGAATATACTGTGTGATTACCAAACATTAGATACAGTGGAAGTGTTTATATCTTGTTGATAATGCAAAATAAAAACCATGGACTGATTATTTTATTGATAAACAGTGTTCGTTTTCTCTCGATAATTTTAAGAATATATAATAACGGTAGAAACACTAAAATTTTCAAAAAAAAATTGAAGAAATTAATGTATATAAATTTATAATATATTTTTAAAATTTTTAATCATACAATAATTTATATTTTATATTTTTTTACTTTATAACTTGAAAAAAATAAAGCAAACAATGCTAAATAAAAGACAATAGTAAAAAATTTAAAAAATTAAACCATTTTTATTATATTATTATACTAATACTTTTAAAATTTTATAGAATTTAAAAAATAAAATGTGACAAATATCTCTATTTTTTTATCAAAATATTTAATTATTTTATTATATATATTATTATTACTTTATATATATTATCATTTTAGTATTTACTTTTTTAATATAATATTTGTCTATATTTTATATGTCGCTTATAAATTTTATATTATATCAACATGTTATCATTTTAATTGATATAAAGAATAATTTTTTATATTAAATAAAATCATTCTTCTTTTATAATTTTTTTTAAACATAAACATTTTATTAAAGGTAAAATATGCGTATAAGGGATACACTAAGTCATTACATCTTTAAAGAGAATTAATAATATATGTCAAAGGATTATTAATCTAATTCATATACACAATTGAACTTCTCAAAGTCTTACCATAAGCCACTTCTAAGAATGATATTTAATATAATCAAACATTTTACTAATATTTAGCACCGTTATCGAAGATAATATTATTACTTTGAAGCCAAATTATCTATACTACTGCAAAATACATCATTACAACTTTCTTCTATTTCTTTTTCCCACATCAAATTCCATATATACTCAGTAATGTTTCATACAAATTTTTAGGTAAGCATATATTGACACCAAATTATTCGAACATTATGTACCACAATCTCATATTGCCATGCCAAAAAAAGTGTAGTACCTCATCATCTTTGATATCACAAAACCCATAAGTTTCTGAAGAAATTGTCAATTCGTGTTTGGTTAAATTTTTTTCGTAGTGGAATTGCATTAAGTATCAGACGCCATATGAATACCACTACTTTTCTTGGTGTATTGACCTTTCAAATTTTGTAATGCCTGCACTAGACACAACTCCAAACTGTTATGTGCAATGAAGTAATTATGAATGTAGCGATAAACAAATTGAACATTATAGTCTTTATTACCATCACACTTCTACATTAACATGTCATTCACATTTTTTTTCGGTCTCTTACCTTCCATAGTCTCCTACAACTACTGTTGTAAATCCTTTTCCCATGCAAACAATTGTCTTCTTCATGTAATTTTCCATACCCATTGGCCCATCTCAAATCATCCATTATCCACCACTTGTGCTTCCTTATTAATTGCTGTAGAAAATAACATTAGGTATGACCTCGTCAACGTAATATTTTTCACCCATTTATCACTTCAAAAACTAAAGAAACAACCATCATTAAGAACTCGTGTGACGTTAGAATTTATTCACCTATTGGCTTACTTAGAAATCCATACCACATCCTTCCACAAATTTGAAGCATTGTAAGTTACTCTAAAGAAGCCAATATATCATTACATAATCCATACCATGCTCGTAGCACATTAAAGCACAATAAGTTTGGAAACTCCAATCTTCTCTAAACCCATTTACCCAACAAGTTTCAATTAAACCATTCTACATTTCTCACCCCTAAACCGCCTTCATTCTTTGTCATGCATATTTTTTTCCATTTAATCCAAGCTATTTTTGATGATTCCTTCACGCCATTCTAAAGAAACCAACGTTGAATTTTCACTACTTCCTTGATGACACCCACTGATATTCTCCAAAAAGATAAATAATGTAGTGGAATCTTATATAGTTTTTATCTAATTCTTAATTGAAATTTTTATTAACTACTTTATTTTTTTCCCTCTTCTTCTATAATTTTAATATTTTAAAAAAAAATAAATAAAAATTAATATATCATAATTATGTATAACTAATAATGTAGACAATGTTTTATTTTATAATTATGATGATAAATTTAAATTTTTAAAATTTAAAAAATTAATAATAGTTAATGTTTGATGGTTTTGTTGTAACATTTTCTTTATTATTAATTGTTATAGTGATGATTATAAATTCAAATTTTTAAATTAAAAAATTAATTAAAATAAATTAAATATTATTAAACATCATAACAATAAAATGATAATTTATTTAAAAAATAAATATGATTTATTATTAAAATCTTGTCGCATCTGTTTGATTTATATATTTAATATTTATATCATAATAATTAAATACGTAAATAAAATAAAATATTTTAAATCTAAATTAATTTAGACTATTATATTTAATTTTAATATATATATATATATATTATTTGTTTTAAAAGTTAATATGAGTTTCTTACTTTTTTTTAAAATTTTTCTTTCACATTGAAACATATATATATATATATATATATATATATATATATATATATACTTTTTAATCAAATATTTTTTATTTTTAATGTATTAAAAATAATTTTTTGATATTTATTTAATTAATAAATATTTTTATCTAAATTACAATATTTTATTAAATTAACTAATAAAAATATATAAATATACTTGTACATGCACATATATATTTACTAAAATTAATGTAAGTTAAATATCTTAAATATTTTTTTAATCGTTTAAATATAGTAAATATATTGTTATTGTATATATAAATATAATTATTAATGATTGATATTGAAGAAAAATATAACGTTAAATACTTTTTTAAAAAATAACTTATTTTTACTTTTTTAAGTGCACAAACAATTAAAACTTAAAAAAAATCTTAAATAATAAATTATATCATTAATTCTGTATCACTCATAAATTATGTTTTATAAATACATATATTTATTATTTATTAATTCTTATAAGCAGTACATCAATATCTCTTTAAATACAGATGCATCGTAAAATTTATCTATTTTAAATTTATTGTTTCTTGTCCATGTATTTTATTTAAACTATTTTATGTGAGGCAAATTTAAAAGGTTGAAAGGTAAGTAATGATAGAGAAAATGAAATAAGAAAGACAAAAAAAAAATTTAATTAGTTCATTTGAAAAAGTGATTGTATTAAAAAGCTAAAAATAATAAAATACAAAATGATTAATTTGTTTGGAGAAAATATATGTATAAAAAAATCAAAATCTTATTTAAAGATAATGAAAAAGGAAAAAATATGATTGGTTCTATAAAATTTTACATATTAATATTTAACACTAGAAAGAAAATAAAAATGAAAGAATTAATGTATAAATCAAGATACTATGTTAAATGGCAGAAACATTAAAAAATAAAATACAATTAAAAGACAGCTTAAAGCGCCATATCTAAATAAAAGGAGAGTTTAAAAATATTAAAGTGATTCTGAATAATAAAAGTAATTGTAATAGTAATTAATATTCATAGATAAAGATGAAAATTTTATTAAAAAATTTGAACAATATCTTTGTCAAAAAGATATATTTAAACTATTCAAATACAAATAGTTAATAGAAAAAACATTTTAAAAAATTATGTTTACAAAGATACATGCATATTCTTAATATTTACATGGGTACTGTTTTTACAAGGCATGCAATAGAGAATAGACTGTGGATACTGGATAACAAATATGAGATTTATTTATTTTTAAATAAAAACATAAAATAAAAAAAGGTAAAAATTTGTCAACCAATCATGGATAAATTTCAAAAATCGAATGGGGAATAAAATAGATAAATACCAAATAATAAATAAAGAGATGAATATTCGAACCTGTCCCACAGGTGAATAAAAAGAGCAGTGAAAGGAAAACGGAAACCATTGTCTTGTTTGCTGCTTCTCCTTCTGCTACTCCCTCCATTCAATCCCCTCTCTTTGGTCGCCGAAGATGACGACGTCGTTTTCAGAGCTTGATGACGATTTGGTTCGCAGCATGTCCATAGGAGCAGTTTTCTCGGATTTCGTAACTCTTCTTGAAGCCCTTCAATTTCATCTTTTTCCTTTTATTTCACTACTTTTTTTTACAAACATCCATCACACACAAACAATCACTTCTAAGAGCATTAATATCAGAAAATATTTTATTTGAACCTGTTGCAGTTGCCCTTTCCGACCAAATTATTGTGATTCTTTTGCTCCTTTTTCTTTTTCAAAAAAGAAAATCAGTATTGTATTTTTTATTATTTTGAAGTGCAAGCGATTTGGAATAGGAGAAACCTTAAGCACAGTACTATTTGTATTTTCATGCTATTCTCTGCTCAAAATTGGGGTTTTATCTCGGTAATCTATGCAATAAGAGTAAGCATTAAAGATAAACATTCATTATTGAGCTGCAACTTCAATCTTTATTGGAGAACAACATCCAAAGCACTTATGATACTGTGCCTAAGTTTTGTCCTTTAGAATAGGACAAACAATACCTTCGTCGCCTTAGATCGGTTTCTTCTATTTTGGGGGAAGTTATTTTGCCTTTGATCTTGTTCTTGGCATTGGAATGATGGCTTCATTCATTGCAAATGTGTGATTTAATTACTTTGGAATTTTCAGAGTGGGAAGATACATTCACTCGATTTCCATCGTAAGGATGATTTGCTTGTCACGGCTAGTGAGGATGATTCAGTGCGACTCTATGACATTGCTAATGCTAAGTGAGTTTACTGTTACAAGAAAGAAGTGAATTTCTGCTTTGAAATATTTATCCGTAATGAAGTTGTTTGTGATAAGTTGTGGAAACTAAATGCTTATATTTGTCTTTGTTTTGATATTTGAGTCGTTTGAGAGCCCTTAGCTTCATAATATGCTTATGTGTAGTGTGATTGTGCATATGCCTTAAATTATGGTGGGTGCTTTCTGCCCTTGATTTTGTGTTAAGTTACTGTTTGATAATTTATATTTGTGTTTGTCATGTTTTATTAACTGATGTGTTCTATAGATCAGAGTTAGGATGTTAGCCTGGATGATTCTAGATGTCTGATGAACCTCAAACTCTTTCAAGATCAATCTCATTCATCACTTCTAGCTTGAGAGTTGCATACCTTATTATGATGAAAATTCCTGAGATTAAGAAATTAGAAAGAAAGTAAAAGCTCTAAAAACTCAAATTATGAACTCCAAATACTAAACTGTCATTTAAGTTCTTAAGTTTGTTTTCCTATATCCAGAGAGGAAATTTATTTTACTGCAGAAGCCTATTTGGTTGATTATAACAAATTTTTGTCCACCATTAATTAAACCAAGATCTTTTTTTTGGTTGGGAATGGTTTGTCAAATAAACAATAAATTTTATAAGATTTACTTACTGCTTCATAGATAAATAATTTTTTTATGCATTTTTGCCATGAATACCAGGTTGTTGAAGACCACTTATCATAAAAAACATGGTACTGATTGTATATGTTTTACTCATCATCCAAGCTCTGTTATATGCTCTTCAAGGTACAATTTGGAGTCTACTGGAGGTGAGCTTCTCTTTATGCAATTTGATATGATGTAATTTACAGGAGTCTGTGGCTATAAATTATGATTACAATTATTGACTTCTTATTCCTTGTGTCCCAGAATCATTACGGTATTTATCAATGTATGATAACCGCTGCCTCCGATACTTCAAAGGGCATAAACAGAGGTTAGGTTTGAACTTTTTTTTATTAATGAATTTTTTGACCTTACCGAAGGAAAAACTAGGTGCTTTTGCTTAGTTATTGTATACTCAACAAACAATTCTTATTTCTTATTATTGTATCATTTCCTTGTTTTTTTTTTTGAGGCATCTTTGGTCTCTGATAGTAGGACTAAGATCACTATTTATAATTAACTGTTACTGTAAAATTTGACTTGGTTATAAGTATTTCTTCCTCCTAAGATTATAATAATTTTCCCTACATTAAAGAGGACTATTAAGTCTTATTTCAACTTTTGGGTGAATACTTACTTTGTTATTTGTTTATCTTTTCTACTTTCTTGTGCATCTCCTTTTCTACAGTTAATTGATGTTTGTATAGTAAACTCCTTTGCTGCACCCTTTCTTAAACCCTATTAAGAGCTACTTGATAGATTATTTTCATATATGCGATTAGAATAATAATTTGTCAGTGATTCTGAGCATGGCAATTCCTTTGCTATACATGATTGTATTGCTGATTTCTTTTCTCTGACTTGTTTTATAGAGTTGTTTCTCTCTGCATGTCTCCAATCAATGATAGCTTCATGTCTGGTTCTCTAGATCACAGTGTCAGGATATGGGATCTTCGAGTAAATGCTTGCCAGGTTGGTAATTTTCAGTTTTCTTTTTTAATTTTTGGGGGAGGGTGGAAGGTTATTTAATGTATTTATGTAACTTCTGAAGGCCAATTAAAAGGATGTTTAGATTCTTGATAATATTGGTGGAGAGACTATATCATACAGTCTAGCACTAGGATTACTAAGTACAATATATGCATAACACACGACTATTTCTACATCTGCTTCTTTTGGAACTAAATTACTACAATAACATTTTATTATAGTTGAACTCAAGGTTTTAAACTGCATACTACATCACGTGATGCAGTTACAGTAGCTTGGTTGAAGCATGTGCTACAATCACATGTCAGGTTGTGATTGTTAATTGCATCTACTGCTGTTGCCTGCAACAGCCACAGTGCAACCGTGACTCCAACTGCAATTAAACCCATGGTTGAACTTCAAAAGATTTATATTTGCAGAATGCATCTAGGATAAGTTAAGGAAGAGACAAGTATGATTTATGCTTACTATTATAGTTTTCAGGGCATCTTACGTTTACGTGGTAGACCTGCTGTTGCCTATGACCAACAAGGCCTTGTTTTTGCTGTAGCAATGGAAGGGGGAGCTATTAAATTATTTGATTCTCGTTCTTATGACAAGGTTTGTATTTGTAACCAGTCTGTAGCCTTTGCTATGCTTTTCATAATTTCACAACTTTCACATTGCCCATGCTGGTGTAGGGTCCATTTGACACCTTTCTAGTTGGTGGTGACACAGCTGAAGTTTGTGATATCAAATTCAGCAATGATGGCAAATCAATGCTTCTGACTACTACAAATAACAATATCTATGTTCTTGATGCATATGGAGGAGAGAAGGTTAATTTCATTGATAATTGAAACTTTTGCTTTACATTTCCTTATGCAATTAATTTGTTCGAAGTATGCAGAAGCTGATAGTTCTCTAACTTGTGCAGCGTTGTGGGTTTAGTTTGGAACCATCTCCTGGTATGACAATAGAGGCTACATTTACCCCAGATGGGAAGTATGTGGTGGCAGGTATCACACATTTAATCTCTTTACATTTAGCATTTTAAAAGTTTTCTTTACGTTGCATCTCACTTCCTGGTTATATTTACCAGCAAATATGCCCAAAAATAGGCTGGAAGTGTGTTTAATTTCTATTATACATTTTGGTTAAATTATTAGGATTATTAGACTTAGTGTTTGTGGGCTTGAGTGTTATGAACCATCACGTAGGACCTAGTCACAGGCCTAGATGTGGAAGAAACTTGTGACGTATAGTTTGTATGGAATTTAGAGAATAGACTCGTCCTTGATAGAGCCTCTTTGGAGGTAATGAATTCTGAATATATTTGTATGTCCTTTATTGAATATTGTCAGTTTTTTATAGACTGTTAATACAATGGAGAAATCTCTAGCTGATATGGTTCTGTAGCAATTAAAAAAGAAATAAATCCTAAATCATGATAATAAATGATTGTATCTAATAAAGCAAACAAACCCTAAATGATTATCAATTAAATGAAAACAAATACTAAATAAAGTAAGGATATTTTGTAAATAAAGGAAAGTGGTGCTGCATCTGCTGTGCTGTCTTCCTTTTTGATATTGCTGATCCACAAATGTGTCCACATCATCTCTACCCCACCCGGCTTTGAGCTTGTCCTCAAGCTTGAAATTTGGATAAGGTTCTTGGAAGTAAGTGGTCCCTATAGGGTCATAATTTGAGAAAGTCCCAATCTCCTTCAAAAGATTGAAAACAATCCACTTCCTATCTGCAAACCTTTTAATGTGTCCTTAAGCTCTTTGTAAATGATACCTCAGCTGTCAAATTGCTTCATCCCTATGACAAAGCTCCTGTTCCACAGACTCCACTTTAGCTTTGCCACTCATGTATTGCACAAGTATGGGAGGTTTCCTTCCATACACTACTTGAAAAGAAGTTAATCTTGTAGTGACATGAAAAGTGGTATTATACCATCACTCTGCCTAATATAACCAATTACATCAATTCTTAGGCTGCTCCAAACAGAAATACCTCCAAACACTTCTTTACAATTTTGGTCTGCCCATCAATTTCGGGATGATAAGAATAACTCATTCTGAGTTTGGTACCCTGTAATTTGAAAAGTTGGGTCCAAAAATGACTGAGAAAAAGGGGATCTCGGTCATTAATAATTGATTTAAGAATACCATGTAACTTAACAATCTCCTTAGTAGATAAATTTTTAACTGCTTTAGCTGTAAATGGATGTCTGAGTGGAAGAAAATGGGTATATGTAGAAAAAGTCTATCAACTACTACCAAGACAATATCATATACCCATACCCTTTTGATTTTGGAAGTGCAGAAACAAAATCAGTGCTTAAGTGTTCCCTAACATGCTTCGGAATAACTAACAGCTGCAACAACCCAGCTGCAGATTTTGTCTGGTACTTTTGCCTCTGACAAACATCACATTCCTGTTCAAAATCCCACTCTCTTCTCTTCTTGCCACACCAATAAAGATTTTCAGCCAACACTCTAAGTCCTATAATATTCTGAATGTCTTCCTGTAAGCATACAGTGAAATTCTTGGAGTAGAATTGGAATCCATTTAGAATTTGCAGAAATAATTAATCTGTCATAATAAAAAAGAACAACATGCAGTAAAGAGAAACCAGATCTGGAAGAAGTGTCCTGCAGTAAATGTAAAATAATTCCTTGTAGGTAAGAATCATGTTGAATTTCTTCCTGCACCATACTTGATCTAAACATTTTGGTGTAGAAACCAGAACTTGTAACTCCACTTCTTCATTGCATTTAGACAAAGCATCGGCAGTTTTATGTTATGATCAATGTTATCAATGGAGGATGGTGGGTCATGGCGGAAAGCAAAAAAAATGACATAAAATTATGGTGGATGCCATGGTGGAAGTATGGCAGTCATAATAAATTTTTTTTTTATATATATATATATATATATTAAAATGTGATATGAAATTAGAAAACTAACTACATATAAAAGACGGAAGGTTTTGAGAAAAAAAGAATAAAATGGTTGTAAAATAGTGAAAAAAGCTGAAGTTATAACAGAAAAGTAGAGAATTAAAAATAAACATGGAGAAGGAAACTTGAAAGTGAAAACAGAAAAATAGAATCCAAAACAAAATAATAAGGAAAAACGAAAAAAATGGGGGAGTAAAACAGAATGGGAGAGGCAAAAACTAAGAAAGAGGATAGAGCCCAGAGAAGCAAAATGGAAAATGGATGTTGAAAAATAGGGCCTTCCACTCACAGTTGCCGGAAAACAGCCAGAAAGGATGTCTTCTCTGGCAAAAATGGTGAAGGAGATGAAGGAGAAGTTGGGTTTAGAGAAGAAGGAAGAAAAACAGCAGAGAGAATCAAATTTTTACCCTTTAAAAAATTTACCGCGTAGGAAGAGAAGGAAAAAATATTAAGTGGAAAAAGTCCATTTTGCCCTTAAAAAAAACCCTAAACAACACTATAGCAAGGGCAAGATTGGACTTTCGCTCTCTTTCTCCATCACACTTTAAAAGTGCACACCCACACCAAGACATTGTCTACAAATAGGGCTTAACCTCTGCGAATAAAGAAATACTTCACCACAGCAAGCATCCCGTGGCCAATGCCACTCCACAACGGTACAATAGTGATGAAGAAAATAAAGGAAGAAAATATGTGATTTAGGGTTTGGGCTCAGATTTTCTCTTTGGACTGGGTCGAGTCTGTGGCCCAACTCAAACTTTACTGCAAAAATGCAGTAACGGCCGCCATGGAAAAATGCCAAAAAACTCTTAACGCGGTAACGGCGGGGCTAAAAACTGCCACTGAATTCTGCTATGGTGTCGCCATGGCTGCCATTTAACAACACTGGATATGATCCTAATTGCAATGTATGGGACTTGAGCACCACATTGGAAGAATGAGATTCTAATGTGGGGTTTCTAATGTCTTGGGCTCCCCAACTACAATGGCTAACTTTTGTGATATAGTTCTCCCAAGGTTCTTATCAATTGGAATCAAAGCCTTCCGTTTTGTCTCTTAGCTGCAAACGAGCAGCATGGGTGGTGACATTGGTATTACAATGTTCACCTGGGCTAGTTCATAGTCAGCCTGCATGAGCAGCAGGGCTGCAGAGCATGCTCAGATGTTAGGATTCTAATTGCAATGTATGAGACTTCAGTCTCACATTGGAAGTATGAGATTCTAATGTGGGGTTTGTAAAGCCTTGAGCTCTCCAACTACATCGGCTAACTTTTGTGATGTGGTTTTCCCAAGGTTCTTATCATTTTATTTTGAGGGCTGGGCTTAAAGATAACCTCACAGTCAAACTCCAATAACTTAGTGAACCAACATTGTTGATCAGGGGAAGAAATTATTTGCTCCAACAATTGCTTTAAACTCCTTTGATCAGAGAACACTTTAAAATGCCTCCCCAAAAGATAAGGCCTCCAATGCTGAATTGACATTGCTAATGCCATAAGTTCTTTGTGGTAGGCGGATTTTGCCAAATTCCTTTTCGAAAGAGCTTTACCAAAGTAGTTCAGAGGTTGGCCTTCTGGCAACAAAATAGTCCCCAACCCCTTACCAGCATCACATTCAATCACAAATTCTTTGGTAGAATCTGGTAACCTCCAAACCGAAGCCTCTAATATAATTTTCTTTAAACTTTGTTTGAGAGTTTATTTTAGGAGGGGAAGGGATGGAAGGGGAAAATTTATTTTATGGTAACCCTTGTTTGAAAGTTTTAAAATGTGAAGAGGAATTTTTTATAAACCCTTCAAATCTCCCATAAGCTTATTTTTTTATGTTCTCCTAAATTAGGGGATTTCTGTTAATCCTCCTTCTCTCTCTCTCTTCCCTTCTCCATTACCTCTCAAACTGTTCTCTTCCCTCTAACCCCAAACTCCCAAACAAAGCCTTAGTATATCAAAAGTTTCTTGGGCTTGTTTACCCCAATGAAATCCTCCCTTCTTTGTATAATCTATTAAGGGTTTTGCAATTTTGTCATAATCTTTAATGAATTTTCTCTAATAATATATTAACCCAAGAAAACTTCTCACCCCTTTTCTGGTTTTGAGGATTGGTCATTCCAGAACTCCTCTTACTTTTTCAGCATCCATAGCCACTTCTTTTCCAGAAATTACATGTCCTAAATACTCCATTGGACTCTTGCCAAAATGACATTTCTTTTTAGTCATTAGCCTATATTTCTTCAAACAATTCTGCACATGCTCTAAGTGCTGTATATGAGATTTTCCAATCTCTGCTACATACCAAACTGTCATCAAATGATACTAACACATACTTACCTTAAACAATGTCGAAACACATCATTCATCAAATATTGAAATGTTGCTGGTGCATTCATTAAACCCAGAGGCATCACAAGATATTCAAAGTGGCCATTATGTGTTAGGCTGTTTCAGGAATGATTTTTTTCTCTTGAATTTGGAATCCAGATTTTAAATTTAACTTAGAAAAATAAGGAGATCCATTCAATTCATCAAGTAACTCATCTATAATCAGTATGGGATACTTGTTAGGTATTGTAGCTTTATGAAGTGCCCTATAATCAACACACATCCTCCTCAAAGGGCTGGTATAAGCACTTGAGCTTGGCCTAATCACTTCTGTTTGCAGCAATTCATCCACTTGTTTCTCTATTTCTTCCTTTTGATAATGTGGGTATTGATATGGTTTAACATTCCCTGGGGTTGCTTTTTGCCTCAAGTTGATAACATGCTCCTTAGGTCTTTTAGGAGGTAAGCCTTTAGGATCAAGGAATACCTCTGAAAATTTCTGCAAGACATACTGCAAAGTTGCTTCCTGCTCCTTGGTCAATTCTTCCTGTCTCTATTTCAATGAACCTTTTGGATGCCAGGCCACATATCCCATTTACTTTTTTCATTTCCTGGTTGAGAAAACATAATTAGGAATCTTGCTTCCTACTGTGATTTCCCTCATTTTTCAACTTAATCGTTCTACTGTCACAATCAAACTTTGCATTTCTTCCAATAAGTTGTAACTCTGAAGGTGCTAGCTACTCAATCCCCAAAATCAAATCCACTGCCCCTACGTCAAAAACACATAGGTGTCAATGATTAATTTCAACTTTAACTCTACCGACACTCCTTTGCAATATGCTGCACTAATTTACTATTTCCATCTCTCAATTTCACTTTTGTAGTTGCTGAATGACCATAACTAAACCTAAAAAATCCACCACTCATGGAAATAAAATTATGGGAGGTCCCACTGTCAATGGAAACTACCACAGGTATTCCCTTGATATGTCTTCTTTTCTTTATGGTTTTGGGACTTTCATTTTCACGTTACAACTCAAGTTCACTTGGTTGTTATCCCCCATTTCCACTGCCAACACTTCATTTTCACCTTCCAATTGCTTATCATCGAGAATGATTAATTAATTTTAGTTGGCGTTTAGGGCATTGATGCATTGGGTGAAAGAGTTGACAGGCACAATCCATTTTATTTCTTTTCCATTAACTTCCTGTAACACAAATGGTGCAGTCCTTTCTATTAACTTCCACTCTTGCTGACCCACTCAAATGATGTAGAGTTTGAGGTGTTCCTTGTGACAAATGCATCTGTTGCATCTCCTCCAAAAATTGTTGGAAAGAGTATTGTATTTCTGCTTGTGTTTTAACTTGCCCATCAGCTAACTCCTTCAGTGCTATCAGCAGTTTTGTGCTTGGGCATACACTCCAACAATCGGATCTGGCTGGTCAGACCAAATGTCAGAAACCACGTAAATGGAAGAAACTGAATTAGGAAAGAAGAATCTATAGACATGAATTCTGCAATATCCACTGAGCTAGGATCTTATTCCTGTACATACAAAAAAGTTAAAAACTGACTTCTCCCTCGACCCATCTCTAAAAAGAAAGTACATGTGGTGTAACTGTTTTTTTGTATTTCCCATTCTGCCCTGATGCTCCAGCCCCTCTTTTATTCTTTTAGCTATATGACTTCCACACCCAGGGCCCATGACTGAGTTGGACTGGCTTCCCTGACTCTTGGGACCTTACAAGAGAGCATCCAAATATTCTCCATTGATCCTTTTGGCACTTCAACTTAACTTAGGTGTTCTCCACTTCATTAAGGAATGGAACTATTATATCATGGTAAGTTGGAGGTTTTAAATTTTGTCCAAATCTTCCAACAAGGTTGAAAGCATGACGTGAAAGCTTTGCAACTTCACCATATTAAAAGACAACTTGGCTTGGTACCAAAATTGTGCTATGTATTAATTATTAATAAACTTTTCTTGTCGCCTCCTTTTTACATGCCTTCCTAATGCTTGATATACTTCATTTTCTCTTTTTCCTATTTTTCGATCGTAGTTTCAAGTCTTCTCATAAAGGAGATCAATTGGGCTCTTTCAGTCATACTTCCTTCAACTAGCGGTGTTAGGTTGAAATGCTTAGTTGCTTCTTCTTTCCTCCAAATATACCCACAGTTCATCTTTTGACCTCTTTGCAAGTTGTTGGACAAGCTACAATGCTGCCTTTCTTTCCCATCAAGTGTTCTTTTGCTCTGTCAATTCTGCCGTTCATGATCTTATTAGAAATTGTGCAAACAACAATTGATGTTATTCCCTTGTGCTAGATGGTAATATTTACATCTGTGGTCATTCCTAGCATCAACTCTAGAAGGATTTGAAGATGCTTCACTTGTCATTTTGATATTTAGTCCTATAAGTAAAAATAAGTATAAATTCAAAAAGTTCTTTTAATTTAAAGTAATTTTTTAAAAATAACTGTGTTTTTGTAATACTAACTTGTGTTGCACAATATAAAATAACAAAATTTTACTTTCTATATTAATGCTTACAAAGGGAAGGGCTGACTGAAGTGGGAAATGGGATATAAGGTGGACTTAAGTGGAATATGCAATTAAATTGAAACTGAAACGTCAAACTGAAACAAAACAATGCGATCCCTTGAAATAATACAATTGAACGAATTAGATAATAGAAAAGGGAAACAGCCAGAAAATTGAAATTGAAAAATTTTAAACAATTGAAATAGAAGACAGATAGAGAACAGGGAACAGTAAGAGAAAGAGTCAGAGTAACGTTGGAAGAAAGATTGGCCGTTGTCATGTTTTGAGCAAAGGAGGTATGATGGGATTTTTTGAACAGGCTTCTGTGATTTATATTCATGATCTAGAGCCACTTAATCCTTTAAGAAAAAGACCCAAAAAGTAAATTTTGAAATGTCTGGGACAGGCCTAGACTGCCATTAATTGCCGTGACGTTATGGCAGTTTTAACTGCAAACAGTCAAATCACAATGCCATTGATGGTGAATTGCAGTTCTACCTTAATCCGGTTCACATGGGCACCACCATAGCTGCTATTTGACAGCAGTGATTGTGAATGTTGTGCTTTACCTATTAGCTCTCTTTTTGTTTTCTTTGCTTTCTGCCATATGGCTAGCAGCCTTTTGGCTTTTTGTCATGACTGCAATATGCTGCTGATAAAATTATGCAATTCACAAGTTGATAATTATACTCACTAGATGACTGGCCAAGCTATAGGACATTAGATCTGAAATTGAGAATGTCATGTTACTATCAAATGTCATGTCCTTTCTTGCTGATTAAATTTGTTCAGCTCAATTGGACTGTCCATAATGAAATGAGATGTAGGCAGTGTAGATTCTGGATATGGATACTGCGCACCTGCACTAAGAAAGAAAAGTTACTTCTATTCTACCCTCAAACATTTTTCATGGCCTACATGTAATAATGAGTATGAAATATTAATTATTTTATGTAGGCTCAGGAGGCGGAACCTTGCATGCTTGGAGTATTGAGATGAAAAATGAGGTATTCCCTATTTTCTACTATATGATTCTGCTATCCATAAATTTTTATTTAATTCTAAAAAGATACTCATAAATTAGAAAGATGTCTGAACTTTCATTTGTAGTTCATAGATGTAGGCATTTTAATGGATGTCTTACTGGAATAATTTAACGTGCACTTTATGCATCGTTGAGTTTGTGAAACCCCATTTTTATTCGGATTGCGTTATAGGCCAATCTGGATCCATACAAACGAATTATTTTATAGGTTTTTCTTTTGCCACATATCTAGGGTTTTGTTTAGGCATTGGTGAAGAATACGTACCATTGAATACAAAGATTAGGTTTTATTAATTCCCTATATTGTGTTTGCTGTTGACAATGGGTTCATGCAACCCTTCCCTACTTTCTTTTAGTGTACAGTTACTTGCATGATGTGTTTGTCTTATACATTCAAAACATTATAAAATAATAACGCACGATCATAAAAACTTGTCTATATATCAATTTATGAGCCAAAAATATGACTGTTTTCTTGTTGCAGGTGGCATCTTGGAGCAGCCATATTGGCGTGCCTTCGTGCTTGAAGTGGGCCCCCCACAGGGCCATGTTCGCTGCAGCCTCAAGTGTTCTCACGTTTTGGATACCAAACAATAGTTCAAAGCAGAGAACCGAGTATGGTGGCACTGAAGCTGAAGCTTGAGCTCAACTCTATCCATTGAACTCAATGTGCTCTTCCTTTACCACAGCCCAGCTACAATTTTGTTGTGAATTTGTCAAGGTTCCTAGTTTGGTTATATCTCATGAAAAATTGAGGACGGAGGATCTTGTCAATTGTAAATTCCATCGTTGAATGCAATTTAATTAAAGTTTTAGCTACCTTGAATGTTCTTTATTGGTTTCATAATTTTCTTTTCTATATTTTTGCTCAACCGATATATTTTTTGTATATAATAGTCCCGTCGGGCCTCAAACGGGTTGAAGACGTTTTAACCAGCTAACGTAACCATTGTGTTCTTATGTCACTTCTTTTACGTGAGGTGCTTCAAAGATAATTGCTTCTTATAGGTGTTTTTCTATTGAAAGTTGTTTTTGCCATTCGATGTTTAATTACGCTGAAAAAATACTAAACTTTTACTTAATCTCGATATCAAATATCTCTTATAATATCAAATAAAAAAAAATAAAAAAGATCCATTATCAAAATACAAACAATAATAAATACTTAATAAAAAGTATAAAATAACTTATAAAATAACTTTCTCAAAACTTTTTGAAAAGCAGAGAGTATTATTCTCTGATGTAAATGCCATTCTATCTCTTGGATACTTTTTGCTAAAACCAAAAAATATTATTCACTGACGTAAATTGCAATATTTGATATTTTTGCTTCCCAGTTGACAAAATATTAAGTTTTGTATTTAAACTCGTTCTTAAAGTGTCGTATGAAATTTTGATCCGTGTATGAAAAAGTGATTACATAAAACCAACTTAAAACATTTTTCACATTGAATTCAACAATGAAAGTGAACAAATACAGAACACATTCCCAGCATCCATCTACAACAAAACAGTGGTAGTACCCCTTTTGATGACATGAGCCAACGTCCCCTCAACTTAAACGATGCCAGACTAAAACGCACGACTACACAAACCTACATACAATACCAGAAGACACAAATGTTGACAAGTCCAAAGCCAAGAGGTACATGATTTATTATCCAACAAATAACATACGAAACTCATATTGTCGTCGTTGTTGTTGTTCTCTTTGTATCCTGAGCCTTATTCTGTATATCTTGCCCAACCTCTTTGGTCTTCTGCCCCACCTCCTTTGTCTTCTGCCCCACGTAACCGGCTGCATCCGCCATCTTCTGCTTCGCCGCTTCCAATTGCTCAGGCACCGTCCCCTGCGTCTGCCTTATGTAATTCAAGACCCAGGAGAAGGAGGACAGCGCCGTCAGCCCGCAAGCTCCCGACGTCAGAAACCCCGCCACGGCGAGACCGATGACGATAGTGGCCGGAACCAGAACTGGGCTGCAGAGGATGAAAAGCGGGGTGGTCACCGCCAGCCCAGTGAGGGTTCCAGCGAGAGTAAGTCCCGCCAGAATAAGGAGCGTGCCGCCGAGTGGAAGGCCGGCGATAACGGCGAGGACTTGAGAGGTTGATGGACCCTTACCTTCAGGGTAAAGGGTAGTGTTGACGCCACCTTCATATCGCGGTAGGGCGACGCCGCCTTCATATCGCGGTGGGGTAACGCCAGTTTCGTAACGGTGTGTTGTTGTGTGGACTTGGATCTGGTGTGGTTGTGCCTGTGCTTGTGCTTGCGCTTGTGTAGTCATGGTTGAGGGCGAATTTCGGGTTTCGGAGATGCAAAGATCCTTGCGATAATAAATGACACAGCAGAGTAGTAAGAAGTAGGGGTGTGTGTGGGTGTGTGTGTGTGTGAAGGTGGTATTTTATAGCAAAGTGGAGTTGCTCAATGATGACACGTGCATTTTACATGATGAGTAAGGGCTTTGCATGAGGAACATGTTTCAGCTTCCCCTCGGTTATACATCAGAAAAATTGAAGTGGGGTCACACACACATAAAAGAAATATATGAATAAATGTTTTTTTAAGCAAAGTTATGGAAATCATAGAGTTTAATTTTATTAATTTAATATTTTTAAAAATATTATTGTACAACAATTAAATTATAATAATATAAATAATATTAATTTTTAAATATTTAATTTTTATTAAATAATTAGTTTTTAAATTAAATTTTTTATAATGTATTACGTTTATATAAATTTAGATTAATTCAAAATTATTTAATGTTTATATATATATATATAATATTTTATAAATAATTAAATTAATAAAAATTATATTTTATAAAAGAAAAGAAATTTTTCACGCTAATATAAATCTAAATATTTTTACACTCGATTTGAACTTTTCATTTAACATACACCTGATATAAAATTAAAAAATTATAACTTATTTCATATAAATTAAATGAAAAGTTAAACTTCCACTAATATAAAAATATTCTATCTTTTTATATAAAATTATTAAATATAATTTGTAATCACATAATTTAATTTAATTTAATTATTTATAAAACAATTTTAAATATTTTTAAATGTATATTTTATTTTGAAAAGATAATTATTTAAATAATATTAAATATAATATTATTTATTTATATATTTATATTATTTTAAAAAATAAGAATAATTTTAAATTACTTAATACGATACTCAAGAGAATATTATATATTCTTTTAAGTTGATAATTATAAATATTTTAATATTTTAAAGATTAAATTTTTTATATTTTTTAAAAATAAATTTTTAACTTTAATATATATATATATATATATATATCATACATATTTAACGTAAAAATAACTGTAATAATAATTAATAATTCTATATATGAAAAAAAATATAAAATATTTTCTTAATTTATAAGGTATTACATAAATAACTTATTTTTTATATGAATTTAATTTTGTGTATTTAAATTATGCTTGAAGGTCCATATGTTCTAAGAAAACATTTTTTATAAAATTTGGAGTGGAGACCGTAATTTCAACTATTTGTAAATTAAATTAATTTAATTTATTAAATATTTATTTAAATTTTTTTTATTTTAAAAAATTAAATTAAATTAAACTATTTAAATGAGTTAATTTTATATTTTATAAACTTATTATTAATCAGCTCTTCAACTTTACTCATCCTTATTATATAAATAAAAGTTTATTATTTGACAAATAAAATATTACTGGAACTATATTAACTTAGAATTACTCTTTTTCATAGTTTATTATCAATAAATTTTAAAATTAAATTAATTACAAATAATATGTAATTTATATTATTTTTATTATAATAATTTTATTTTTCTTACATTTTTGTTAATTCTGTTTTAAATTTTAAAGTTGTTACTTAAATTTATTTTTATTTATATAAATTATATTTATTTATAAAATTTATCTTAATTATATATATTATTTTTTAATTTACTTTTAAAAAGTCTTATCTCTTAAATTTATGAAATTAATATGAATTAATTATTAATATTTAATTAAAATAAATTGACACTTATTATTTTAAAATAAATTATATTTTAAAATTATTTAATTTTATTAAATTTTTATCATTTTGATTCATATTATTGATAATTATAAAGTTGTCAAAATAATTTTTAAAAAATTATTATTTAAAATGATTATTCAAAAATAATAATTTTTAATTATTAATTTATATATATTCTAAAAAATTACTATTTTTATAACTAAATATGTTTACTCATTTTAAGGTAATTTAAATGGATAAATTAAATTTTATTATTATTTTACTTTATTATTTAACATTAAATATTAAAGAAATAAATATTTTTTAATTTAAAATTTATTAACAAATGAATGAGTTAAATGTGAGTTTTAAATTATTCAGTTAAACTAAATTTAAAATTTAAAATTAATTGTTGAAATAAATGAATTAAACTTAATGAATATTTGTTTTACAAATTAAACTTAAACATGGGATAGTAGTTAAAGAAATATGATTGAATGTTAGAAAATGTAAAAAAACTATTCTATACAAAATTTATTTAAGTGATACAATATTTATTTAAGTGATACAATATTTATTTAAATTAAATTTATATAACAATGATCATACAAATTTTGTCTATTTTTACTTAAGTTATTTTTTTTACTTTAAGTTAAAAATATAAAATTTTTTATTTATATATTTAACTTCAACTATATCAATTTTACTTAAACTAATATTTATTCATTTAAAGTAAAAATTATATTTTTAAATTACTTTTAATATTGTTTAACCGTTAATTGTTCAAAATATATCTAAGGATGTACATAGTTCCGGGTGTAATTGTGTACGGCACTTTCTGGGCACAGGAAAATAGGAAAGTGTTTGCCACCTAAGTCTTCTGGTCTGCAGAGTTGATGTGTTGTGTGCGTTGCATGAGAACAGGTGCGATGTGGGTAACCCATGTGGTCTGGTTATGCACTGGGGAAGTAGTTTTAGTTCTGTAGATAAAATAAAAATAAAAATAAAAATCTTACGCGTTGTTTTTTCCCGTCTTTTTTTCTTTTTATATTTCTATACTTTTTAAAAAATATCCTTTTAAAATTTAAATTATTAGATAAAAAGAATACTTTCTAACATTAAACAATTTATAAATTTCTTTTTTTTTTTCAAAATTTTGATTTTTTATTTTATTTTCACTTATCGTTTCTATTATATTACATTTTTTCTTTACTATTTTAAGTTTTTATTTTTTTATCACCATTTTTTAATTGTATTCTTAAGCATCGTTACATTTTATATTATATAAAAAACGTAATTTATCATTAAAAACAAAATCTTTATCGACCTATCAACGAAAACCTAATTTATAGTAAAAAATAACATCTTCATTCACCTATCAATCTTTATGAAATGAAACTTTTTAAAGATTTTATACTTTAAAAATTAATTTTTGAAATTAAACTTTCATACTTTTAGAAATTAATTTTGAAATTATTAATCTTTTTTACAAATAAGTTTTGAAGATTCTACACTTTCAAAAATAATTTTTTAAAATTAAAGTAATTATAAATTTATGTTTTTACACTTTTAGAAATTATTCTCTAGAATTATTGACTATTTTCGTAAATAAGCTTCTAGAAATAAAATTTTGAAATTGAGATTTTAAACTTTTAGAAATTAATTTCCGGGGTTAAGATTTTATATTTTCAAAAATAAGTTTGTAGAATTAAAATTTTACACTTCTGGAAATTACTTTCCAAAATTATATTTTCATATTTTTAGAAATTAATTTATAAAATTATTCGCTATTTTTAGAAATAAAATTTCAGAATTAAAATTTTACGCTTATAAAAATTAGTTTTCAAAATTTATTATTCATATTTTTAAAAATTAATTTTCAGAATTATTAACTATTTCTAAAAATTATTTTGAAGTTCATTTTCTTTTTAGATAATAGAGTATTAATTGAGAATTTAAAATAAGATGTTAACGTTAAACTTAAATTATGAAAAAAAATTTTAGAATTTAAAAGTTTTTATTTAAGCAATGTAATATCCCTTATTTATTTAAATAATTTTTTCTTTTAAATATATAAATATCAATATGATGTGATTAAAATGAGTAAAAGATAAATAAATATAATTTTTTTATTTTTTATGTATGTAAAATTTGAATCAATGAAAATGAAAAAAATTTAAAAATATAAAAGTCATTTGTAAAAGAATTGAGATATAATTTCAAGATTATAAGTTCGCGGTAAAAGGAAAGCTAAAATTCTATATTAATGATTAATTACTAAATATTGCACTTGTTCTTTGAATTATTATTTAAAATAATTACATATTATAAATAACTTTGAATGAAAACTCAATTAATAGTATTATTACAATTTTTTTTAATAAACAAAATCCCGTACAACAGTTCTTCTCCTACCATTCCTTGCGAGTATAATTTTAAAATAGATCAATCCCCCTTTTTAAAGGTGAGCATCCCTTGCTCCACCAAATTTTTTATTTTATAGAATAATAAATAATAATGCATAAACACTTTCTAATACAATATATAATAGAATAGAAATATTCTATACTTAACAAATTTAAATAGACAAAATTATTCATATACATCTTTTGTCATTTACTCATACGTATTCCATTTCTTATTTAATTAACCTAATCAAATTCAATGCCTATACTTATGTCACGACTCCTTTTATAAGGAACCGAGAATATTATTTCTACACCACATACTTATTTAAGATAGATAAATAATAAATAATATAAGTATAAGATTCGCTTTTCATTCAAAATAAAATAAAGTTTCTTACAACAAATATCCAATAGAACAACATAATATTACATTTAGTTCATAATATTCAAAATACACAAAATTATACTATGTAGCTCCCTCTACATGAGGTCTCAAAATATAAGGATAAAGGACTTTGATGCAAAATTACTCGACTCTAGCTTCTAACAGTTCTACACTGGCCCCTCAATCTGTGAAGTAGATGCAACACTTGCTACATTTGCTCACGTACTACTGTACGATTATCGCAGTACACACACACAACGACATAGACAAAAATGCAAGGGTGAGCTTACAAAAAAAAAAAAAGAAATCATACATATAGAGCAAAATATTACTCACAGCAACAGCTCCATGCATTACAAGCCCATCTAATCCACAACATGAAAAACAATTTTCAACTGGTTTCACAGCCTAAGTAATCCAAAAGGAACCGAGCTGATCCGGGAGCGACCCATTCTGGTATCTGGATGTAGATAGCACAACTCAGCATGCTCTACCGTTACATGTCTACCCACCGAAATGTATAACTCGACTCTATA